ATAGGATAGTGATCAAGGAAGAAAATCTTCCTACCTGCAAATGGTTTGTTGGGGAGAATTGTAGATGTGTTTTATGGAAAGGACAACTTTGTGCGAGTTGTCTCCTCCAAAACCAAAAATGGTATTTATAAACGAGCAGTTAGTAAAATTGCTGTACTGCCAATTGAGAAAATAATGTACGAGCTTTTTTTTTATGCTTTATTTGAAGGTTTGAATTGTAATCTATCATATTTGTTCTTTTCACATTGTAATTACATGTATTATAATTTGTGCATTAATTTACATTGTATCATTTTGTATTGTATGTACATTTATTTATTTATTTATTTATTTATTTTTGAATTTTACTTATTGTATTGAAATTAATATTTCAACGCCGGGCGGGATGTTCGGTGTCTAAAAGAGTATTGCTTGGCAGCATTGTTTTATGCCAAGCAGAGTTTGGCTTTAGTGTAACCCTAAAGTTATTTCGTTTTTGCCTTATTCGTATGTATGATTTTTGACTTGATGTAAGAGCATATGGTTGCTCACTTTAAGCTAAGTTACATAGGTAACTATAAGCACATGTGTGTGCTAGTATTCAATAATGTTGTTTTTGTTAAAATAAATTTGTTATTGTTAATATTACAGTCCACTTAACTTAAGTTTCATTAAATAAGTTCGAGCTATCTTCAGCAAGAACAGTATATTTTGAAAAGGAATAGACTGTTTCGTATTGTGGAGGATGGAAAAAAGAAGAAATTAATAATACATCATACCTAAAAGCATGAGAAAAAGAATAGTTGTGAAGTCTCATGACCTTATGGGACATTTTGCTGTTGATAGAACTGTCTCAAAAATCAAAGAACTGTACTGGTTTTCTGCTATGAAGAGATATGTTTGTCAACATATATCAATGTGTTTTGAATGTCTCATCAACAAAGTTCCAGGTGGAAAAAGACAGGGTCTTCTGCATCCTATTCCCCCAGGCCACAGACCTTTTGCAACAATACACACTGATCATTTTGGACCTTTCATCACTAGTTCTAAAAGAAACAAGGACATATTAGTTGTCATTGATAATATGACCAGATTTGTTCAATTGTATGCTGTGAAAAACACATCTTTGAAAATCATAGTGAAATCAATGATGAGTTTCATAGAAGAATTTGGATTACCAGATCGTATAATATCTTGTTTCACTTCAAAGGAATTTAAAAACTTTTGTAAGGAAAAGGGAATTTTTCATACTCACCCTCCCACCCACAAGGAAATGGTATGGTCAAGATATCAAACAGAACAATTTTATCAACAATAATAACATCAATGAAAAGTAAAGATCAAAAGGATTAGAACAAAAGAATTAAAGAAATTGAGAGAAACTTGAATAACACAATAAATAAAACTATTGGGAAAACACCATTTGAAATACCTTCATGGATATATACCATGATTTCTTGATGGAGTTTTGAGATTACTTGCTGATGAAGAAGCAGAAGTTTGGAAGGAACTGGAAAAACTACAAAAAGAAGCTAGAGAAAAGATTGTAAGAGAACAAGAAAAAACTGAAAACTTATTATGACAAGAAGAAATCGGGATTTCTATCATTTGAACAAGGAGAAATAGTAGCAGTTAAAAGAAATTCAAAATCTACACCAGGAGAACCAACCAAAACTCAAACTAAGTATCATAGTCCAATGGTTTGTGACAGAAGTACTTCAGGCCAACACTTATAGAATATCACAACTAGAAGAAGCCTGCAATGGTCGCTTTTATGCATCAACTGCTCATGTAAGTCAACTAAAATCTTGGAAAAATGCAAAAGCAAATGATGAGGATGACACTGACGATGATCACGGTAATGACAAAGACGAACTTAAAAGGCCCAAGCAAACAGTGCGTAAACCATTGCGCTAGAGAGACTTTGTGTAGAACTTTTAGAATTTTTTTAAAAAATTATATTTCATTTTATTTTTTTCCTACCTTTTATTATATTTTAAGGCCCGGTGGCGCAGTGGCTAGCGCATCGCGAAGCAGCACCGCAGGTCCAGGATTCGATTCTCGGGCTGGGCAAGGTCGACTCAGCCTTTCATCCCTTGATTTCTAACCTTTGGGTCGATAAAATGAGTACCAAGTTCGCTTGGGAACTTAACACTGGAGGTCCTGCGACAAGCCAACCACTTGTTCAGGGCATTTGCTTACGCACCCCGGGACCCACGGTCAAGAAAGCAGATCTCGGGGCACTGCAGGCATTAGCCCACTAAGGCTGTAACGCTACTGAGTTGAGTTTAGTTTATTATTATATTTTGTTGTTGTTTATTTGTCGTTTTAATGTATGATAAGATTTGGTTCAATAGAGGACAATTGAAAAGTCAGGATGGTCGAATATAAGCCCGACTGTAAATTATTTATCGTTATTAGACAAAATAGCTATTGAGAAATGGCAACAGCTAATTTTTGAATGTCATTTTATTTATAATTTTAAAATATATTCAGATGATGTACGATTGAAATGTATATTGGTACGATGCAGTAAGAACGTCTGTTATGTTATGTACGTTTACGAATATGTTACGTGTAAGTTAATAAGTAACAAGTACAATTTATCTTTAAATAAATGTTTGTTTGTGTTTTACAATCATTTTATGAGTGATTAATTTAACTACAAAAGGAAGCTTACACATACTGGCCCACAAAAAACACACAATAATTTTTTTATCATAATAAAATTTTTCAAGATCAAGTGTGCCTGTTAATTTTAAGCATACAGTATACAGATTTCCGCACTTATTCAACATGTTAGGGATCAAGGCATTAAAAAAAATTGAAAATTTGTCAGAGTGCTAAACTAGTTCCGCCCCTCTCTCTGTAAAAGCATTTTGGTTACTGAAAATCGCAAATAACGCATTGCATATTTTGTAAATGCATGCAAAAGCCATAAATAGTTTCTCATTTACACTTATTCTGACACACAGTTTCAGAAGTTCCTCTTAATATGGTTTCCACAGAAGTTTTGGTTCCTATGCATTGATACCATATACATTCTGCTACACAACACTCAAACTGAACCATACATAGCATTCTTTCAAGAAAGAGGCATTTTATCTTGTAACAGTACATGGAAAAAAAAATTCTGAAATGCATTTTATATATCAATATGAAACATCTGCAGATGCAAGCTTAAAGGCTGCAGGTAAGAGACAGGCATTTGCCCTGGAATTTGATTTTATGATTCCCTATTCCCATTTCCAAAAGCACTCCACTGTATTTTATTTATTTAACTGAAGAACTCCTGTCCATTAAATAGTGAAAGAAGCAGTTAAAAATCTGAGAAATAATTGTTGGTTAGAATGCTATGTTGCCTTTGTGAGGTGTTAAGTTAGTTTTCAATAGGTAATCAACTTCAACAATTAATTGCAAAGACAACAATTTCTTTTGGTGGAGTCTTCCTCTCAATATAGATATCCAAATGTAGTTTTATGCATAACTATCTATTATTATTATTCTGAATGATATAACCAACCTTCATTATAATATTAATATGTAATCAGTATTGATATATTTTTATATAGTCCAATAGCATAAAAGATTTGAAACCTGAAGAATTAAGGATAATTTGAGATCAAAGGAATTATAAAAGTTTCTCAAGTCTTTGAATTTTTACTTGAAGTTTATCTATGGTTCACAACAAAAATTACATATTTTTTATTTTAGCTTCAAATTTGAATGCATCAGCAATTTATATGATATTAGCGTTTTTAAATATATGTTAGTAATATTTTTAATGTGTATTCTATTGAACGTGTATTCTACAATGGCAATGTTTAGATTGTTTCTATATGCCACACCTGATCGCAAATAATATTACACTTAAAAAATTTTTTAAATTAAAAAAATATATATATATTAGGAGATTAAGTTAAAGAATTACTACTTTCCCTTCACATTTTAGAAAACAGTATAAATCTATAATTCACAGATTATTATGATCTTTTACATAGCTCAATCCCAGAAGTCCCTCATGAAGCAAACCACACAGATAAATAAATTGCTCTGGGTCATGCCTACATGTTTCTGATCATAATAAATACATTAAAATTTTATCCATGAAAATACAGAACACTCTATTTTTTTATAATCAACTATGATGGAATCTTCATGAATAATCACTTTGATACAGACATGGTTTACATCTGTTTGAATTCTTCACACAATATTTGGGCCTCTTCCCTTCTCCCCTCAGCCAATTTTTTTTTAAAACAAGTGATATTACTTGCACATCCTTTTGGTTACATAGAAGAAAAGAACCATTTAATCTTCTCTTTAAAATAACAAAAAAATGAATGTGTTTCATACTTATTTACCCCCCCCCCCCCAATTTACGAACGTTGATTTAACTTTGTTTTTATAAGCCCCGCAGGTTTCATAGGAATGCTTTGTTTTTTGTAAAGAATGGGAAACCTCTACTCATGCAAATATTTGAAAAAGAAGATGTGGATTTACATATATTTAGAAGATGAAACTGTTATCTGTCTGAATAGATAACAATGAGTACTCAAAAAATTAATGTACCAGCAACAAAAATAATAGAACTCAAACAGAAAAAAAAAAAAAAAAAAAAAAAAAAAAAAAAAAAAACATTTTATAATCATACACTTTTTGCAATGCACAGTTTAGTTACTAGTACAGCCAACTTATGCAGCATGTACAGCACAATGTTAAAACATTTAAAAGGTAACTAGATTAGCATTTAATATGCAAAGAGTTATTTATTTTAAGCTGAAGGAAAATTATAAATTACTAGCTTCATGAGCATTTTTATAACAAAACCCCAAAATAATCATATTTAAGATTTCCGCAAAAATTATTTAAGTTTTTAATAAAATAATTCACAAGTACATTGCTTTGTAACTAGTACATGTAAGAAATAAATGCACATTATTTTAATATTATTAAACATATGAAATTTGATGTTTCAAAACTTACTCAGCAAGCCCATCCCAAATTGCTAATGCTGTTCTCAGTAATACTTCATTGCCTTCTAAGAAGATCAAATCCCATACTCTTAACACAGTACCTTTTGGCAAACAGTTAGTGAATAAAGTAAGGAACCACTGCATAGTAAATACGTTTGTTAACGGTGGCTCATAGACATGACCTAAAAAATATAAAAAAGTTATTCAGAAATTCACATAATATGAAAAATTATAAATAAATAAATAATAGGAAATAAAATTTTGAAAAACAAAGATCTAAGAATTCCTTCATTCACCACACAAAGAAATCCCGTATGGTAAACATCTCTGAAAGCGATGAAAATTTCTTGAAACATAAAGAATATTAATATTTTATATTAATTCAGTAAGATGCACACATAAAAAAAGGGAAGAAAATGAAAAAGAACACTGAAGAGAATTTGCAAGACAGTCTATTTAGTTATTATTTATTATATTATATATTTATTATAAGATAAAAACATTCCCCTACAAAAATTGATCTAAATTATTAAAAACAATAAAATAGCTATTATGGTATTTACATGAAATTTTGGAGTTTTTTAACCCTCTGAGCATTACGGATTTAGCCCTAAAATTTCAAAGTTCCTCAAAATGTCATGAATAAGTGATATTTTCTTGATTTTAATTAAAAAATGACTCTTTCATTTTGTACCTTGATTCCTTTTCTTCCAATATACATCCGAACTGAAATCATATACATTAAAAGCTAGCAGAAATTTTTATGTATAATGAATGTGGAAGGCAACCTTCTATACAGAATTTTCCAGCCTTAACGCTGAGAGGGCTAAGAATGAAAAAAACACTCTTTATTTACAATGCATTTCATACTTTAAAATGAGTTGAATCTTAAAAAAAAAATTCTAAAAATTTCTAGACATATTTTTAACAATTTAAAAAATTTTCTGGATTATGCTAGGCTGGGACATTTCAATGCTACTACGACGAACTTTCCCTACCTTTGTAACTGTGATTGTAACTTTAATGAACTCTAAGTATTGATTTCAGATTGCAGTTGGTAGAATTTTTGAATGTGTAGTATATTTTGTAAAATGCTGTGAAATGTGTTTGTAACTTTACTGCTTTATTAAACATTTTCAAAATATTAGATCACTGTTGTGAATTTAAATTTTATATTTAAGGAAAGAAGATATTCACCATCTGCAGATTTTTTTACAAAAAAGGTAGAAGGAAACTCAATGTGAGTGTTCACCATGCCTTTATTGAACACATTGGAATATTTGGTATCCGCTACTGGAATAGAGTAATATTATTTTACAATTACTGAGAAATTTAATGTGATCAAATATATTGATTAAGTATTGAATATCTTGAAATATTTTGGTCAGTCAAAAATGAGTGAAAAAATTATTTCTAAATTGAAAAAGAAGTGTGGTTTATCTAGACTAACATTTACTAAAATTCTTAATAAGATAGACAAATTTTTTGAAGATAAAATTAATTTTAATGTATTGGAGAAAATTTAAAACTTCTGAACTGTAAAGGCCAATACTTTAAAGTCTGTTGACAGTAAGTTAGAAGCAGTTTTAAAACCAGAAGAAACTGAATAGAAAATGTTGATGAATATATAGATAAGATAATTTTATGCAGATTTAGAGCCAATAAGAAATTTATTGAGATTAAAAATTCAATTTATTGATTAATTTATCTTTGAAAAGTTCACAAAATTTAAATTAAGAAATTTCTCTAAGAGAACATGCTTCTAAAGAAACTGCTAATGTGAAACTTCCTAAGCTCATGATTAATAAGTTTTATGGCGACACTAGTCAAGTAGCTCACATTTTGGAGCTCATATGAACCTGGACTACAAGAAAACAAGTCACTAATGATTAATTATCCGAAGGTTCATTAATGTGGTTCTACATTACATATTATTAATGGTTTCTCAATTACATCTGATAATTATGATAAGATTGTGTAATTGTTAACTACTAATATGGAAAAAAGATGTTTCGATAAATGGTCACATAATTTGTTAGGTACTTCTGTAACTTCTTAAGTATCATTAGAATGTTTAAACGTGCTAATGATATCAGAAGCTTTTGAAAGTTATTAGATAATTATCAGACACAAATTCATACTTTGAAATCTCTTGGAATTTTTTCAGACACTTATAGGACTTTGTTATGCTCCATGATTTTAAAATATTGATCCTCAGATGTAGTTTTTGAATTCAATAAAGAAACTGGAACTTCGAATATAAATAAAGTTGATGATTTAATCAGTTTTTTTAACATCCGGTTACGAGCCATTGAAAAAGTTGACACTTTACTTTCGTGTAGAGATTGCAAGCAATTAATCGTAATAATGTTTTTAATCATTTCACAACCGAAAGGAGCATTAATTTGACTCATCAGGAAAATCTTTAAAAAAAACGTAATCGTATGAATAAAGAGAAATTACCAACTTCCGCTGATTTCCTAAATTCAGAGGTAAACGAAAATGTTAAAAATTCTTGTGTATTTTGTAATAAATTTCAAAATTCTGAAAGATGTGATTATGCGTGTAATATTAGTATTGAAGAAAAAGAATCTATTTTAGTGAAAAAAGGGGTTTGTTTCAGATGTTTGAAACAAAACAAATATTTATCAAGATAGTCTAAAATAAAAGTAATTTGTTCATTTTGTAAGCGAAGACATTTTGATATTATATGTTTTTCAACTGAAAAAAATTGCCTTAATAAAACAAAAGCCAGATGTGACGAGGAAATAAATGAACATACTGTTTTATAAAAGAAGCGTAAAAAATTGCTTAAGGGGTATTAGAAGCCAAAAATCTTCAAAAAATGGTGATTTCGAATTTTTGCACTTTCATATTCTCTACACTTTTAGCTTTCTAAAAATACCATTCTTTAATCTCTATGAAAATTAGAACTATAAAAAAATATAGTTTTAATTTGTCATCGAATGCTTTGATAAATGAAGATTTTTACATAAAAATGTGTTTTTCTCCAAATGTGGTATTTTTATACTCGATGTACCTTTTCTCAAGAACTACTCTTCACAGGTATCTAAAATTTTTACGGCTTATTTATTTTGTTTCCTAATATTTACTGAAATGAGCTTTCTGTGATAAACTAAGAAAAAAACATTAATTTTTTTTTTCTTAAAATACAATTTTTTGCATGAGAAAAGTGCAAAATTTTACTATGTCTAACAAAATATTCTGTAAATTACTCTAAAATTCAGAATCTTTCAAAAGCTCATTTCAGTACAATAAGATATATATACTTTAATTACACCAAAAATTTCAAGTGTGTATTAACAGCAGATTTTGAGGAAGGTACATTGAAAATGGCCAATTTAACATTGTCGGCATAGGGGTTTCAACACTCCTTAAAGCATGGCATATTTGCGAGTGCTATTGCTTTAAAATGAAATTCATGTCTATTTGAGAAGAATTCAAATGAATTACATATTCTTATAGATATTAAGTACAAATTCCCACATTAGAAGGCCAGCCTCTGTTATTAAATAATAAAGACTTATGCATAAAAAGACTTAATAACACAGTCATTCCTTAATTCTGCATGTAAGCTTGAAGCCTATCAACAGGTATTTAATGAGCGGGTAAAAGGAAAATATAATCGAACAAGTAAATTCGAGTGAGGACTCAAAACGCAATGAGAATTAATTATGTATTAATTTTTTGCAAGTTGTTATAAAAGAAAATTCTTCAACTAAAAAATAAGACCTGTTTTTGATGGATCAGCTAAAACTTGTAATTCAGTGTCTCTCAATGACTATAATGGGACCTAATTTGATTGAATTCATTCCTTCAGCGTTGAACCGTTTCAGATTGGAAAATACAGGAGATATAGCAGATATCTGAAAGGCTTTCTTAAAAATAGGTTTACATGAAAATGACATGAATTTCCTGGTAATTTTTAGGGTGCCAAGATCCTGCTTCCGAAATCTGTTATTGGTCTTTCCTGTAACCCTTTTCACCATTTAGATCAAGCAACTGAAGAGGAGAAACTGGCAAGAAAAATCAAAGATTCAATGTTTATCGACAACTGCGTGACTAGTGTGGATTCCTGTGAATATCATAAATTTTTTAGTTCAGCTAAATTTGATCTATGGGGGGGAGGGAGCACATTTGTCCACATTTACCCACTATGTTATCGACTGACTTAAAGACATCCACTGATGAAGAAACGATTCCAATAACTAATAGAAAGATTCTCTCTTTGGTTCCTAAAATTTGCAATCTTATATGTTTCAGTTATCCCTTTACATTAATACCAAAGTTACTGTTACAAGAATGTTGGAAACTCAACTTAAAGTCTCGTGGGACTTGAAACTGCCATCAGAGATTGCAGGAAAGTACCAGAAATGGAAAAAATCAACTATCAGAAATAGATGCTGATAGAAATTAGATGTTTAACATTAACTGATCAATGGGAACTATGTACCTGGAGTATATAATCCAGCCAGTCTTCCACCTCAGGGATCTTTTGGCAAAAAAAACTAGCTAACACAAAATGGTGAAAAGGTTTTATCTGGCTAAAATATTCAAGAGATGAAGGCCTGAATTTTGAACTGATGGCAAATGAAGAAACTATAAATTCAGAAAGGAAGAAAATTATAGTATCCCTTATAAATGAAGAGAAAACACACTTTTTCTATTGAATAACTTCATACAGAAAGATAATTAGAATTACAGCATGGATTTATAGATTCTCTAGTCTAGTTCGGGCAACTTATTTGCGATGCCTGATCTGAATTTGGGCAGAAGAAAAATCAGTGTTTCAATTTCGTGAAGCTCAAACTGAGTTCCTTTTCACTTTAGAATATTCACTTAAGACTTAATTGACTATTTTTATAATAGATTTATTTTACAATAGATAGTGTTACTTACTTAATTACTGATTCCACCTTTTCACCGATTTTGGCGAGGGTTTCGCTTTTCCACATTTAGTTTGTGTGTTATTTTGGTTGATTTTCTGTGTTGTCAGAGTCTAGTTCAGGTAACTTATTTGTGATGTCTGAACTAACTTTGGGCAGTAGAAAAATTAGTGTTTGTATTTCGTGAAACCCAAACTGAGTTTGTTTTCGCTTCAATATCCTATATCTTCACCAATTACAGCGAGAATTTCTTTCACACATTTAGTTTTGTTTGT